GTTTATGGTCCCCGAATCCACATTTGCTGCATTAAGACGCTCGTAGTTTCGAGATAGCTTTTTCACTTGATCTCATAAGTGTACTTTGCATCGAAAACACTTATCCCAACTATGCCATCTGGGGCTTATCTACAGCAGTTGATTCCCCAGCTGTTTGCTCAACTAACTCGTGGCTGCGGGAATTCATCATGCACTAATGAACATTGTGCTTCATCCGTTTCCTATTTGCACTCTGGCATTACGGCCACGCAGGCTGCAGCCCTCTCAATTCGTCTCACACAACAGAATCCTATTATATGTTCGAGACACGATCGAAACGTTGCTGAATCTGACCAGAATACCGACACACAAAATAGGATATCCTTTGTATCCTCTTTATGCCCTGATATTTCTTCATTTGACTCGGAGAATGCTATCCACCACGAGCCTATGGATGTTGGAAACGATTCCTGTTCTGAGAGCAATTCTCTATCTGGCCTAATTGCAGGAGGGTCTTCCTCTCATATTCCTCTTTCTAGAATGCCAGTTGAAGATGCCTACTCCTTTCCTGATTCGGAGGTTGAGGAAATAGATAAGGTATATCTGCTTTAATATTGCTTTATTATTCCTTTCAAGTCATTAGATTTTCTGTGATTATATGATACGATATGTAGTAATATTACTTTTTAATTTTTCATCAATTAATGAGACAGTCAGATGAATGTTTAATCACTACTAATGTGATCTGTCTGAGTTATCCGCTTGGAACTCATTTCTTTTAAGCAATGGTCCTGATTCCGTTGACTCATTTCTTTTCCACGATTTTTATCTTAGTCTGATTTCCTTATGAACTCCCTTCGTCAAAAAGTTGAGATAAGTAATTTACCAAATTCATCAGACTGGTTAAAGTGAGCCTAACCTGTGATAGAGCAAAACGCGTTTACTTTGTGAGCATGTGATCCAAATTCAGTTTAATTACTCTATTTATAATGATTTTTAGGTATCAAAATATTTTTTGATTTTTGTTATTCAGACGTTTTAGCGCGACATAATAGATTATCAGTAGTTGATTTTCTTTTTAAACGATTAAGAAACGTCCTTGTCTTTATTCATTTTGTGTAATAACTCCATAACTTCGACATCGGCTATCTACATTAAAAAATCATAACCTATGCTATCCTTACATGTTTCGCTTAGATGAAGCCAGATCAATGATTTACTTGAAGTCAGACAATCTAAATCATGTTGACCTTGTGCTAGTGATTATCTTACTTTGACTACTTTTAGCTTAATTGGCTTTTCTATTGCTAAACAACTTGCTTAAAGGTCTCCCAAATTTGCTCGTCTATAAGCTCCGACTACTGGAGTTGCCATAATAATTGGAAACCTGATCACTACATGATAAAAACGCTTCCTTCGATAAGTAAAATGGGCTTGATAATAATTAATTCATAAGGGATGCATTTATCCTATTTTCTTTAATGTGAAGAAAGACTGGTAGCTGAATTTTCCCACGATGATATGAGTAGAACTGACGTTTCCATTAAATCTCACATGACCCTGTTTTCATACATTGTTTTCTCACCCAGGTTGGACGGCTTTATCGACACTCCCACCATATAATGTGATATAGGAAGATGCCTGGCCTTCATTGAAATTCACATCTGCCCTGTGACTCAAGGGCACTCGTGGCAATGTGGCATAGTGGTTAGCTTGCCGCTGCACTGCCATAGTTCGAAACCCGCTTGGGGTGTTGATAAGTCATAGGCGAGGTCAAAACCCTGTATGAAAACATTTAGCGAAAGCAAGGTAATGTGAAATTCAATTGAAATATCAGCTCTACTCGTAACAATATGGGGAAATTCAAATACCAGTCCTTCGCCTGAAATGAAAGTGCAAATACATCTCATATAACTAATTCACTTATAGTCCCGAAACTTACTTATAAACGAAAATAATTAGTTGGACCTGTCCATTCGAGCTAAATCGATATTATGTTTTAGATACTATTCTTGAGTCTATATTATTTATTAGATCGCTTTTATTAGATAATCTATGCGCCAAATACACTTCATTTAGTGGGGCTCAAATGCCAGATAATATTATTAGGTGGATCCTTGCATTTGCGTTCGGTTCATTTAATTTCGCCTTTAATCTTTGACTACTAGTATGAGTCCTTACAATTTAATCTGCATTTTTAAATGAATGAAATATATTCATAATTCCGGAATCCTAAAAACGAATACTGTTGATCTCTTTCTTTGAAAACGATATTTCTTTCCCTTAACCTGTGTGATCGATTTTTTCTGCCTTAGCCTGTCACTCTACGATTCTACCATCCCATGTCTTCAAATTCATCTGTAAACGCTACTCCTCCTCCCGAAAGACCTAGCATCTCTTTACATGTTGCAGAGCATGAAAGTACAGATGAAGAGGACGCTTGCTCAGTCTCCGAATCTAAATGTGAGTCACAATCAATAGGAATAACCACAATCGCTCCAAGTGACGGAGCCTCTTCCACAGGCGATAGTTTTGGAGGTATTGCAGTTAGCTCCAGAACCCCTAGAGCTTCATCCATCGCAAATTGTCCCATTTCCGAAAATATTGTTCTACCACAACCTATCATCCCGGAGCCATCGCGATCTCGCCCCAGTGGAGCCGGCTTTATCTCGCCTGCGGCGTTCAGTCGAGCATTGCGTAGCGCAATTGTCGCCTCGACTAGTAT